TTTAGTTCTTCGTTTTTTGTACTATTGTTTTTTGTTTTGTTGTTTTTCGTTTTTTGTTTTTTGTTTTGTACTTAATCTTTTTTAAAAAAATGTATAATTTTACTGTGATAGGGGTTGAGAGTTAGTTCCCATTGAGTTACTCCCTTCTTGGCACCCACACCATCGAGATTGCCTTGAGAGATAGAAGAGACTAAGAACGGACTAAGAAAAGACAGAAATAGAAGAAAAAAGAATGACATCTATCCCCCTCCAATGAGAATAGTAGTCCCCATTAAGAAAGAAAAGAAAGAAAAAATTCCTATTGGACGAGAATAGAAGAAAGGAAGAATTCCCATAGGACGAGAGTAGAAGAAAGGAACGAGAGTAGGATAAAAGGAAAGGAAAGAGAGTAGATAGCCATTCAATAGCCTGAAGAAAATTCGAAACGCGTCGCTTTACAAGCTTACCAATTTATTATACTTTCACGTATCGTATTAATTTTTTGTTAAACTAAAAAATAAAATTCAAAAAAACATAAAAAAACTTCTTATATTATTCAAAAAAACTCTCGTTCACTCATTTATTACTTTTTTCTCACCAAAAAAAGTTTACTTATTTTTTCCTCTATTCTAAAACAAATTTCACTTTAATTTTCACTTGAAATTAAATCAATCTTTTCTTACCTAATAAAAATTCAATATTTTTTCCTTACTAAAAAAAACAAAAAAAGATATTTTCTTATACTCATTCTAAAATTTATTCTAAAATTTATCTTTCATTCAAATAATCCATATTTTCCATTTGCAATAAATTGATACATTTTTCAAAGAAATTCATCTCTCTCATACTCAACAAAGTATTCAATCTTTATCACTAAATTTATTCTCTAAAATTAATTTTTTGCCCTAAATTTAATTCTCTTAAAGAAAATAATACTTTATTTTCAATTCGAAAAAATATCTATAAACTATTCAATTTTTACAACTCATCCTTAGAAATTCTAAAAAAGGTTCATTTCTTCAATCTTTTCAACCTATATAAAAAACTAGTTTATCTCATTCACACTCTTTCGAATAAAAAAGCACTAAAAAACACTTTTCAAAAGCTTAAAATTCACAAAAAAATAATAATATAAAATTAGAAATACAAAAAAACAAAATTTATTTAATTTATTCATATATTTACTCACTTATCTATATATTTATTTATTTATTTATTTATTTCTTATTTGTTCGGTTTTTTGCTCCATTTCTTTACACCATTGTTAATTCGCTTTAAATCTAAATTCACACCCACACCCACACCCACACCCACACCCACACCCACACCCACACCCTTTAAGGGTCATGTTTTGGTTCAAAATTTCATTTGAATCATTTCAACTGATACTAAGGCCACTTGATAAGATTTAGAGTTAGTAACATCGAAATAATCTATACATAGGTTATCGTGGTAACTTATACACACCCACACCCACCCACATCCACCCACACCCACACCCACACCCACACCCACACCCACACCCACACCCACACCCACCCACACCCACACCCCAATACCAGTTTCATGTAAAGAGATGATAAAGTCCTGAAACAGTGTTTCTCAAGTTTGAATGATCTATAATACGGCTATATGCTCATTTTTCATACATCACTAGATTTATTTGACTGAGCTACTAAGAACAATGTATTGTATTTAAGCTTTCAATGAAAACTCACACCTGCTTTTTTTTACAGGAACCATTCTTTCGATCGTCATACAAGAAATACTAAAGAAACTTACTCTAGCAGGTATGAGTCGAGTACAGGTGAGTAATTTTTTTTACAGACTGAGAGACAATGTTCTTCTTCAATTTTCTTCAAAAATAACCTTTTTTTTCCTAATTTTATGACAAAGTTGCAAATCAATCATGTATGATTTAATCCTTATTCTAAATCTGTAATCATGAGGATGCATATGGGCACAATGAATTTCTTATTCGTCCATAAAGTGAGAAATTTGAGTGACCTTTCATAAGAATAATCATTCTCTTACTACGAAATATATATTGATAATGCTGAAGTGTTTCGTCAATGCGATTTAAGTTGAACAAAATATTGTGCTAGTTCTTTCGTTTTTTTTTGCATTGAATATAAGTTGCTCGAAAAATGAATTCTTCGTTTCGCG